ATTAGTGAAGAAACACTAGAGTGGGATGGAAACTGTGGGTGGTGGAGAGTCACCTAAAGCTAAAGATGCCCCGTGCAGGCTCTGTATTTGAACATTTGGTCCCCAGTTGGTGGCTCTGTGTGGAGAAGTTATAGAACCTTTAAGAGAGGCAGCATAACAAGATAAACATCAAATAGTAACTCTAACTAAAAATTCATAACATTGGAGAAGTAAAGAATTTGACACAGTCTTGTGGGCATAACAGTAATTTCACTATTTAGGAATCAAAATAAATTATGTATTTTAATTTACAAGTAGGATTAATTTGTGCAATATAGCACTAAGAAATATCAACGGAGGGGCTGGAGAGATGACTCAGTGATCAACAACACTGGCTACTCTTCCTGAGGTCCCAGGTTCCATTCCCATCCACATGGCATGTTGTAACATCTGTAACTCCTGTTCCAGGGTATCTGGTGCTTTCTTCTGGTTTTCAAAGGCACCAGACATACACATGATATACAGACTCACATCCAAGCAAAATAGCCATACACACAAAAAATATTGAAAAGAAACATCAAGAGAAAAGAAAATTTGTGTTTCTCATGAGACTTTAATGCCAATTATGCAAAGTTAGGCTAATGTAGAATCTTCGTGTATACAAACTTTTAAGGTTGTTCTAGCTTGGTTTCTAATGTTATGACAAAACGCTATAATAAAAAACAACCTGGGGAAGGAAAAAAAAAGGAGAGAGGCAGTAGACACTGGAGATGGGCTTGGAGGGTTTCTTGTCTCATCATTTGCTCTTCTAGTTTCAGTGTGCTGACAATATGTGATTGGTCAGTTATCTGCTCTGGCTGCCTATGGCCATGCCCTTTTACCACCATGGACGCTTGGTCTGAAACTGTAAGACAAACTAAACCCTAAACTCTTTTTTTTCCTGTAAGTTTCTTTTGGTCGTGGTATTTTATCACAGCAATAGAAAAGTAACACAGTGTGTGTGTGTGTGTGTGTGTGTGTGTGTGTGCAAGTAAGTGTGTTTTCTTGTGCATGTGTGTGTGCATGCATGTGTATGTATATGTGCATGTTCCTGCATGTGTGTGTGTATACACCTGCGCACACATGCAAGAGTAGAGTCAGAGAACACCACCATGAAGCCAGTTCTTTCCTTCCACCTTTACATAGGTTCCAGGGATCAAACTCAAGCTACCAAATGTTCACAGAAAGTGAATTTACTCACTAAGCCATTTCACTGACTGGCCTCCAAAAAACTACTTCTATTAATATTTTAATTAGCATAATAATTATACATATTTATGGGATAAAGTATGATTGATACATGTATATAATATAGAATAAGGGTATTTAACAATTTATTTCCATAAGCATTAATTAATTCTTTATATTAAGAATCCTGAAATTCTTCTGTTTTTTTATGAAACATACAATAAATTGTTGTGAACTACATTCACCATAAGGAGATGTAAAACATTAGAACTTATATTCCTCTAATATAACTCTATTTTGGTGCCCATTATCTGCCCTCCCTCCATAATCCCTCCCCCGACATGAGAATTTTTAAGTAGTTAGAATTTAAGCATTTTGAAGCTTTGAAGTCCTTCTAGCTCCAGAATAGACTATTATGTAAATGTCTAGAATTATCATCCACTTCTTACCAAAGTCATGATATAATAACTACCTCTCTGAATTGAGATATTGAAACAATATAAGAAGGAGAGGGTCTTATTCAGATGTTGGCAATAAAATAAGTGCTATTCACGATGAGAAATATAAATTGCCAGCTCCCTAAGAAAAGAATCCTTCTTTAAAAATATAAATGCACTTCTTACTCCACTTATAGATAGCCCTTTGATTCCCACAGCAGCAGAGGCAGCTATGAAAGTTATCCAGTGATTCACATCAAGAAGCAATGGTCCTAACAACAGCCAAAATCTTTATTAAATTTCATCTGTAATTTTCATGCCATTAAATTTTGTGGAATCCAAATTTCCACTCTATTTGTACTCATGAAAGCGTAATTTCTGAATACAATCATAAATTCGAACTTCAATGGAGATGGGAACGGACCCACTCATTCATTGAAGACGTGTATACCAGTGTCTTTTTTTATCCCTTCCCAGGAGCCATATTCTGGTGCTTGAAATACAAATATAAACAAGGCATGGCTCTTAAATTCAAGAAACTCATGGCAATAAAATAATCAGATAAACCCCTAAACACCAAGCTTTGGTACTGTGTGGCAGGTGACACTGGGAAGCCTGCACCAGGCACAGGGAGCACAGGAAGGTCCATGGGTGTGAAGCTGCCCCAGAAGACTTATAGGAGAAATGGTGTCTGACCTACAGCTGCCTTCACACGAAAACATCTGGAAGAAAGGGCATAAAAGAATTCCAAAACTAAGCTAATGAATACTGTGTTCTAAAAGAAAGTTTGGGCTGGGTCAGAAATGCACCCGAGTTGGTACGTTACTGGGCTAGCATACAAGGCTGTGGGTTCAATCCCTACCACCACATAAGCTAGTCATGGCGGCATATACCTATAATCTTAGCACTGGGTATGTAGAGGCAAAAGGATGTAGAAGTGCATGGTCATCCTCAGTTACACAGTGAGGACAAGGCCAGCCTAGGACTCATTAGATCCTTTCTCGAGGAAAAAATAAACTAGAAATGAAGAGTTAACTATAAACACTATCTACCCAGGAATCAATTTACACTGGTTCTCAACCTGTGGGTCCTGCTCCCTTTAAGGGTCAGATGACCTTTTCACAGATGTCACGTAACAGACATCCTACATATCTGATATTTACATTACTCTTCATAACAGTAGCAAAATTATAGTTATGAAATAGTAACAAAATAATTTATGGTTGGGGGTCACCATAAATTATTTTGTATAAAAGGGTCACAACATTAGGGAGGTTGAGAACCACTAACTTAGAGCATCCTTTGGGAAATTACTTATTCCTGATTCAAAATGTCAACTTATCATTCATTACTTAGCATACCATCAGCATACTTCAAAAAGAAGAGATAAGTAAACACCAACTATGCTATGTACTGGTCGAGGTCACACAATAAATCAGCAAAACCATGTGATTATACTCATTTTATGGCTAAGCATATATATACATATATACATATATATGTATATATATTCAGAAACATGCTTATGCAGAAGCATAGTTACTTACAAATAGATCTTTCAGAGAAAATAGGGATGCTTTTGACAAACATACGCATAGTTAGGAACCCAAAGGCAAGTATGTGATAAATACAGTCTTTATAATGCAAAGCATTGCAGTAAAATACTACAAAGTCTGACTTTTATCCTTCTGCTACTTGATAACCAAATAGGTGCCAAGTCACATCCATGCAAAGGGCTAGGGACAGGAGATCGGCAATATTTTTCCACCTTCAGATTAAAAAGCATGGGCTCTAACTACATAATTTTCATGTCTTAAATGAAGGGTGTATTATCAATCAACAGAACCATTAGAACTCAGAGATCAACACCAATTCCCCTAAGGAGTCAACAAGTATGAAGCTGGTTGCTTCACAACATCAGAAAGTAATGTAGCCTTAGAAAAGTGTGTATGAGGAGAGGGAGAGGGAGAGAGAGAGAGGGAGAGAGAGAGAGAGAGAGAGAGAGAGAGAGAGAGAGAGAGAGAGAGAGAGAGAGAGAGAGAGAGAGAGAGAGAGAGAATGAGGGACAGATTTCCCAATGACTCTATGAAACCTAGGGCATAGGAATCAAAGCTTGACAGTGGCACAGTCCTTCCTCCTTCCTCCATTCTACTCCTAGGAAAAATAGAGAAAACACAGCTGCCTCTGCACATGGATGAGCTACAAACTCACAGCAGTTAGGTAGAAGGCTGCATAACATTTTAATGGCTTTCCTAGGGTATAATTGATATAGAACAAAATGCACATATTTAAGGTGTATAACTTCACAAGTATACACATGTGCACCCCATCACCATAATCAAGGGGGAAAAGCAGTCTCACCACCTCCACAACTTTCCCAGACTCCTTAGCAGCCCCTTCTTCCTTCAGAATGCCTCTCTACACTCCCCAAAACCAGTGATGTGCTTTTTGTCACCATGGCAGTTCCATTTTTGGTTCATGACCAATATACCTAAATAAATTACATAATTAAGGAAGTCACATAATGGCACTTTTCTCAGAACTCTTGAGTGTCTGAATACTAGGAAGTAGAATTGTCTTTGTAATTCAGTTGTAGCTTACAAATCTTGACCTTAGTACTTCCTCTACCTGGATTCTGTTTCAATTACAGTGTTGTTGAGGGCTTTGGTCAGACCTACCATTCTGGAATCTGGCTCCTTCAGGAAGCTTCGGTTTGAGGAGCTATGTCAACAGGGCCCTGGTGACAGGCTGTTGCTGTTTTCCTTGGCAATGCTTCTTTCAGTTACTGTCTTATCAGTGAAGAGCTGCCTTCCTTTTTGTCTGACATGATCAGACCCGTCACAAGCCTGTTCATCTGGAGCTGATCTATACGCTGTGGGTATTGTCACTTTAGCATCATCCATTGATCTGTCACCTCATCTTTCCATCCTTCCACATCCAGAATGCTAAGTGTGTGTGTGTGAGTGTGCATGTGTGTGTGCATGCATGTGTGTGCATGTATGTGTGCATGTGATGTGTGCGTACATGCATGTGTGTGTGTGCACGAGTGCGTGCATGCGTGAGTGCATGTGTGAGAGTATGATGGTTACATTTGGCATTCTTAGTACAGCTCACTCCTCCAACACTTTCATGTTAACTTCTACTTTTCTTATCCATTATAAATTAGTTCCTTGATTAAAAATTTAGTACAATGGCTTAACCTGCCAGATATCACACAGTTTGGCAAGGAATCTTTTGTATTTGTATCACAGACTAATGCTTTTCAAAGTGTTTTCAAATGTGTTGTCTTACTTCTCTAAAATGTGTGTTTGTCTCATCACCTGCCAAACCAACCCAATCGTTCTCTGTTCACTGCAGGCTGAAGACTCTAAGGATCAGAAATAATTCATAAAGCACTCTGAACAGAGATGGAGTTACCTTGAGGTGCCAAGCTTGGATAGAAGCAGAGCTGCAGTCACCTGGGCAGTATGATTCAAAGAGCATGAAAATGCCTCTACATGTTAAGAACCAACAGCAATCACACAGACGTGAAACGGCCTCCTTCCTGATGAGGAGCTCAACCAGAAGAGATGAACTCTGTGCTGGGCAAGGAAGGCCTCTCATCTTGCTCTACTGAAATGCAATGAACTTTAAACCATCTCGGTTACCTGCTTCTGAACGTAAGTACACTTATCAGATGCCTTGGGAACCCTTTCAAGGTAGAAAATATAAAACCAGGCACCTGAGAGACAGGAAGAGACTGAGTAAAAAATGGTAGCAGAAATGACTGGACAGGGTCAGGGGAAACAAATCTAATTTGCTCAATTAATTCATGTTCTTATTTTAAAGACACCTTGACATTCTTTATAAATACTACAGGAATATATTGTTACTCATAGTCTTAAAAGTTTTACTGTTGAGTTTTTGAGTCTTAAGTCAAATGAAGTGTTAATATTTTCTGTGAAGTACTGACTTTTTCTCAGCCTGTAATGAGATTTTAAAATTTTTAAACTATGTATAAAATATCTAATCCATATCAACTTAGAAATCTTGAATTATGTACATCCCCTTCTTTAATGTATATATACACAAAATCTGCCAGAGGAAATTAACATACCAGACACTATGCATGAATGCCTGAACACACACACGCATGCACACACACACACACACACGTACATAGATATATACACATAGTCACAGGTACACACATAGACATACGTGAAGACACACAGAGAGATAGAAACACACATAGGCACACACACATACATACATATACATAGATATACACACACAGGTACAGTACACATATACATACATAGAGACACATAGAAAGACAGAAGCACACAAAAACACACATAGGCACACACAGAAAAAGACATATACACAAAGAGACACACTCAGGAGTCACATACAGAAAAAGAGAAATACATATATATACAGAGAGAAAGAGATAAACATAAGGACATGCATAGACACAGGCAGAAAAACAGTCCTATTATCTAAAACTCAAACTCTGAGACTCAAACTCAACTTCTAAAACCAAATGAGTTTGAGTTTTAATCAATAGAAACCAAGGAGAAGAGCAGAGATGCAACAGGAGGATTTAAAGACTCCACCCAACACCAACAGATGTGCTACTGTGGAAGGGGCCCCAACCCTAGACAAAGACCCACAGGCATCTAAAGAATTCAGAGAGTGTGAGAAATAGTCTTCCTCAGAACAGCCGTCAGCCCTGAAATAATATAATAATATACATACAGTTAACAGTATATGGACTAAGCAAGTTGCATTTATAAATTTAGATGAGAGAGAGTGTGTATTCTGAGACAGTCTCTCTATACAGCCCAAACTCACAGCAAACCTCCTGCCTCAGACTCCTGAGAACTGTGATTACATACATGAGCCACCATACCTGGCTTGTGTTTCTTCTAACAGCTTCTACTGCAGTTACCTCACCACTGCCACCAACTGAAGTAGATACATACTAACCATCCACCAGATTACTAACGTGGAGCACATGTGTATACACATTTCTCACAGGCTCATAATGACTAGCATCCTTCCAAAAGCACGGGGAGAGGTGTTGATCAATCGGCTCTAGTTCAGTACAGCTCCCAGACCACAGACGGCTCTTACAAGGTCTACAGGGACCTGCACTTGCTTCCTCAACTACCACATAACCGCTTCCCTGGTTATTTAGAGGTACTTAAGATAATTTAATTTTCAATTTAAAATCACGGATCTAAACCACATATTTATGTGACATGTTTATACTTCTCAACAAGTACTCTAGTGGTGTTAATTCCAACTTTGACTCCAATTAGAAAAGTTGAGAGCAGGGGAGTGCCAGCCTACAATTCCACCGCAAGAGAGTCTGGAAAACAAGCAGGACTCTAAGAGAGATATGCATGGTACCCCAGAGATGGGGAATGGGACAGGATCTCCTGAGTGAACTGGGAGCATGGGGGGAGGGAACAGGGAGCTGGAGTAAAGGGGGGAAGAGAAGGGGAGAGAAGGACATGGGTGCAGGGAAGTTGAGTCAGGGGAAGAATAGAGGGGAGCAGGATGAAGGGAGTCATTATAGGTTTGAGGAGAGATCTGGCACTAATGAGATTTCCAAAGACCTACAAGGATGATACCAATGGCAATCTAAGTAATAGTGGAAAGACTATCTTAAATGTCCTTCCCCGATAATGAGATTGATGACTACCTTGTATGCCATCCTAGAGCCTTCATCCAGTGGCTGATGAAAGCAGAGGTAGACACCCACAGCTAAACACTGAACTGAATTTCTGGAAACCAGTTGCAGAGAGGGAGGAGTGATGAGCAAAGGGATAATGACTGGGCCGGTGAAACCCACAGAGACAGCTGACCTGAACAAGGAGGAGCTCATGTACCCAGAGGCCAGCATGGAACTGATCCAGACCCTCTGAGCACAGGTGTCAGTGAGGATGTCTTGGCAATCTTTGGGGCCTCGGGTACTAGATCAGTATTTATCCCTGGCATACAAATGAACTTTGGGAGCCCATTCCACATGGAGGGATGTTCTCTCAAACTGGACACATGGGAGAAGGCCTGGCCTTGCCTGGATGATATGACAGACTTGGGAGATCCCCCATGAAGGGCCTCACCCTACCTGGAGAGTCAAGTGGGGATTAGTGGAGGGTTGGGAGGGTTGGTGGGGGGGTGGAGGAGAAGGGGAGGGAGAGAGAGCTGGAATTGATATGTGAAGCAAACTTGCTTCTAATTTAAATAAATAATTAAAAAAAAGAAAGGCACATACTTCAGGACTAAAAGTGGCCTGCCAAAGAAGATGCTCTGGTGAAATCACTCACCCTTTTCTATTGCCTCTGTTTTTACTGTTAGAAGAACAATACTAGAATGGCCTTTCCAACAGCTGAACTCTGGTAAAACAAGCAACACTCAACAATTCTGATGAGTTCTCAAGACTGGTTTTCCACCTAACAAAACATTACTAGTTGAAGGCAGCCATCCCCATGAACTAGCAAAGGTAGATTTTTAAATTGTCTAAGCTCAACAACTACAAACCCAAGTCCATTTTCAGTTTAATGCCCCCATCTCATCTCTCTGTCCCCTAAAAGTGTCTCGGCTCCGCATCCCTTGGTAGCTCAGAAGCATCAAGGTTGCTTATGTGAGGGGCAGGGGAATGGCTCAGTGGATAAAATGCTTGCTGTACAATCATGAGAACTCAGGTTGGATGCCCAACACCTACTTTAAAAGATGGTCATGGCAGCACATGACTGTAACCCAGCATAGGAGGCAGAGGCAAGAGGATCCGAGGGGCTCAATGGCCAGTCAGTCTAGTCAAGTAGTGAGCTTACAGTTCAGAGAGAGAGATGATCACACACACACACACACACACACACACACACACACACACAGAGAGAGACGCACGCACGCACGCACGCACACACACACACACACACACACTGTGTTTTTTTTAGTTTGGGGTTTGTTTTTAAGCAATTCTGATGTTTTTAACTTGGATAAAATGCCTCACACATTTGGTATTCTTTGATTTTTTTGTACAATCTATGGTAGCAGAGAGATGGAAAGAAAAGCAAAACAAAGACAGAAACAACTAAAAAAAACTTTGATGAAGTTAACTGTATGGTATTTTTACCACACAATCACAGAATAATGCCCTGCAAAGAGGAAAAAACAGAACTCTTGAGTTCAGAGAAATTAGGACATCAGATATTTTGTGAAGCAAAATGCTAAAGAGAAGGAGCTACTCCAAGAGAAAGTTCTAGAGACTGGCAACTCAAAGAACCCCTGAGTACTCCTCATCTATCATGTGAGAATGCTGCTGATACCATGGAGAGAGTGGGAGGAACAAAGTCCAGGGTTCGCAGCAGGCTGGAGGTGGTCCATTATCCAGTGAGCCAAAGGAAAACATCTCTGCTAACTGGTTGTCAATCAAGGTCAATCCAGCCAAACTTGTCCCACATAAAAGGCTGATTTAGTGGATTTTAAAAACATCAAAAATGGCCGGGCAGTGGTGGCACACGCCTTTAATCCCAGCACTCGGGAGGCAGAGGAAGGTGGATCTCTGTGAGTTCGAGGCCGGGCTGGACCGACAGCCTCCAAAACAATACAGAGAAACCCTGTCTTGTAAAAACCAAAAAAAATTAAAAAATTTAAAAAAACAAAAAAACATCAAAAATGTAACAAATCCCAAATTATTAAAACAAATTCCCAGAACCATATAAAATTCTCAATGTCCATTAACCAATCAGAATTACCAGGCATGCAAAAAAGGAAAATATGACCTAGAAACAGAATAAAATCCAATCATGAGGAAACACAGAATTCATGGAGGAATGAATTATCAGTAATATATGCAATTATGCACACATACACACACACACACACACACACACACACACACAGGTATTCCAACACACACAGAGGTATTTCAGGATATAAGGATATTGTGTTCAGTAATAAATTGCATATATGATGAACCTCTTAAAAATCATCACTTTGTTCACCAGGCAACATCATTAACACAGCTTTCTTTGGGACCTATAGCTAGAGGCTTATTGTGCTCTTTGGAAAATGTCATGTTATCTTGTTTCCTTATATTTCTTGTGTTCTATGTTGAGATTAGAATATCTGGTGGGTCAATCATCTCTACCACATAGGCACTGATAGACAAGTACAGCTTGGTCTTACTCATAGGTGGAATATAAAAGCTATGGCAGTATAGATCTTGAAAGTGGAATGGGTATTATCAGAGGCTGGGGAAAGGAGAGAAGTAGACAGAGAGATACACATCAGTGGGGTTAAGTTACACTGAGATCAGGATAGTATTGTGAATGTCTACAGATAATATGTTTGCACAGACTATCTCAAAGTAGGAAAGGAAAGGGTATTAATTATTTTACCATGGTGGATGGTTGATGAAATAGGTTATGTTTAACCTGATTTAAACACTATATATACACATGCCAAAACCTCACATGAGACCCAATATATATATATACATGTATATATAATTTTCTGTAAGTTTCAAGTAAAATAAATTACAATGAAATGCCTGAACATACTTTGAAACACTTAACATGGGAGAATGGAAAGAAATTCAGATTTCACAGTCCATCAAGTTCCCTGGAACATAATCACAACCTTCAACTTACACACAGTCTGCAGA